GGTGTGGGGCCCGCACCGCGCTCAGCCAGTGAGCGGCTAGTCTGTATGTGGGATCCGAACCCTCGGCGGGAGCGCCGCTGCGCTCTCAAGCGGCGCACTGTAGCAGTGCGCCACCGGGCCGGCCCACCTTTTTCTTTTAATTACATTTTTCCATGAACTTTCTGAAGTACCAAGTTTTCCTTTTGGGAAAGGTTTTTCTAAGCATACTAGGAAATTCAGAGTCCATAGGGAAGAATAGTGACAGATGGGACCACATAGTTTAAAATCATTATTTTTTTTTTAAGTCAGAGTTAAAAACCAAAAAATCTCAGAGACAATATTGGCAGTGTGTATAACAAAGTATGATAAGGTGTAAATAGCCATAATATATAAACAGCTCCTAAGCACCAATAAGAACTCCCCAAAGAAAAGTAAACAAAAGAAAAGAAGAGGCAATTCATGGAAGAGGAAACAAATATTCAAAAAGCATCTGAAAAGATGTTCAACCTCCATCAAAAAGAAGAGAGGAAGGGACAGATTTAAATTTTAAAAGCCCTTATTTTCACCTTTCAGATTGGCAAGTGTCAGAGTTGCTTAGAGTGCTTAAGGCAAGCCCTTTTATATCCTGGGATGTGAGTACAAGTCAGTGTAGTCATTTTGGAGGACAACTTAGCAGTATTTACCAACATCACAAATGTGCACACTTTATAACCTCTCAAAGGCATTTCTAAGACTCTGCCATTAAGAACCCCTAAAAAGGCTGGCCAGTTAGCTCAGCTGGTTAGAGTGTGGTGCTGATAACACCAAGGTCCAGGGTTTGATCCCTGTGCCCAGCCACAAAAACAAACAAACAAACAAACAAACAAACAAACAAACAAACAAACAAACAAACAAACAAACAAACAAACAAACAAACAAACAAACAAACAAACAAACAAACAAACAAACAAACAAACAAACAAACAAACAAACAAACAAACAAACAAACAAACAAACAAACAAACAAACAAACAAACAAACAAACAAACAAACAAACAAACAAACAAACAAACAAACAAACAAACAAACAAACAAACAAACAAACAAACAAACAAACAAACAAACAAACAAACAAACAAACAAACAAACAAACAAACAAACAAACAAACAAACAAACAAACAAACAAACAAACAAACAAACAAACAAACAAACAAACAAACAAACAAACAAACAAACAAACAAACAAACAAACAAACAAACAAACAAACAGATAGCCAGCCAACAAACAAAACAAAGCAAAGCAAAAAAGAACCCATAACAGACCAAGGAGCAGTCTGCCTGGTAGATAGCCAGCCATCAAACAAAACAAAGCAAAGCAAAAAAGAACCCATAACAGACCAAGGAGCAGTCTGCCTGGTACTGGCTGCTGCAGGCAGACCTCATCCCCTCCAGAGGCAAAGCTGTCATGGGTCATATGCTTCACCTGGTAACCTGAGACTGGTCTACCTAGCACCCGCTGCCACCAGCATCACTGTCCTGCAACTGACATGTATTGCCCCAGGCTTGAGAACTGACCCCTCTGGTGGATCCCACCCCCAGCAAAGCTGTGCCACTACCTCCACAAACATCTGCAATCTAGGCCACTGAAGCACTCTCATACACAGCCAAAGTTGATTACAGCCAAATAAATCACATGGAGACTACACTACTGTGCCCAGCCAGAACCAAAGCCAAAGCATTCTACCCAAACAACACTATAGAATCTATCTACAGGAAAAAAGTCTTTCCCTACAAAAGCTACTCCATAAATTGGGAAGAGGCAACTGTTCCACTAAATGAGCAGATATCAATGTAGGAACACAAGAAACATGAAAAAAACAAGGAAACATGACACCTCCAAAGGAGCACAATAACCCTCCAATAACATATCCCAAAGAAAAGGAAATCTATAAAATACCTGAAAAGGAATTCAAAATAATGATCTTAAGGAAACTCAATGAGACATAAAAGAATACAGATAAACAATTCTGCGAAATCAGGAAAACAATTCATAATCAGAATGAGAAATTCAATTAAGAGATAGATATCATTAAAAAAAAAAAAGAACCAAACAGAAATCTTACAGTTCAAGAATTTAATGAGTGAAATAAAAATACAATTGAAGGGCCTGCCCGTGGCTCACTCAGGAGAGTGTGGTGCTATAACACCAAGGCCATGGGGTCAGGTCCTATATAGGGATGGCTGGTTAGCTCACTGGCTGAGGGTGGTGCTGACAACACCAAGCCAA